CAGGCAAAGGGGAAGCTGCCATATATCTAAGCACACCAGAGGTAATGGAACATTCTCTTATGAGGATTGAGCTCCTCACAGCAGACCCCTGGCTCAGCCCTATCTCTTGAGGCAGAGTGTGAAGCTTCACTTCTTCCCTACAGGACAACAGGCTCTGGAGATAACCAGTTTACACAAGTTGTGATTATTTCAATTCTTCACTGATTCTTTAATATGACTATTAGGCTCCTAATGACCAGGCTGGCTGCGTGACTTCCTTCTATTCTGAGGTAATTTAAAGGCAGTTGCATTTTCTCGGTTGACCCTACACTACCATGTAAAAAAACCTGCCACTTAGTGTTAAATTAACTAACTGCTACTGAAGTGTCAGATGAGAAGAACAAATTAATGTCAGGTCTAATTATTAAAGCTATACGTCACAGCCACTTGCAGAGGCCTACTCTGGAGTGGATCCTTTTAACTGCTGAACACTGAAATAAAGCATTGGGGTTGCTCCTAGTGAAAGTCATGTCTGTCATGCTTATACAGGAAGCACTAAGCAGCCTTCTTATAGAGATTCTTGATGGTCAAGAAGGGACCCTTAGAAAATATCATGTAATTGGGGCCATCCACAGCTTGCCTGTGATTCAAATTACAAAGACAGCTAACAAAACGTTAGTCCTCAGCAGGCAGTGGGTATTTGCATCTGAAACCTAGGATGGTGAAAAATGGCTTTTTTGAGTAGTTTTTGTCTCAGATGGATGCACTACATCAAATACTAATTGAGTTCTCATGACGCCATTTGAATTATGCTCTCTGTAAGCAAGCAGTTTTACAACTTTTGTTTCTCCGCATTCACTTACATAAATTAAACTAGCAGTGGAGGCTGCCAGAAAGACAAAGGGCTATGAAGAAATAGCTCTTTATATGCCACAATCTGCTACCTACCCACTTTTGTCCAAGCAATTCCTCAAACTCTGTTTCTGAGACAGATATAGCTATGCTACAATTACAAAATCACCAAGTTTCACCTGGCACCTGGAATTTGATATATGTGGATCACAACTAAAAACTTATACATAAATTCTACAGACACAATCCACCCTCTGCCACTATATGACTTATTCCTCCACCAAAAAGAAGTTGGGAGAGAGGGACAGTGAGTTGAATGCGGTCTAATTAAAGAGTAACCAATGTTTCTTCTAGTAAAACCAGAATGACCAAGTTGCTCCTGTATGAATACAGCACATGTAACTTGAATTTTGTACTGAGGCTTCATTAAGGATAATTATTTGTAGAAAGTTAATGGGATGATTTTTTTTTTTTTTTTTTTTTTTACCACTAGAGGCACCAGCCAAAAAGTTAGAAACTCACAGTATTTGTTACTTAGATTATAATTCCATAGTGTGCTGTGGCTGCTGTCTAACTTTCAAGAAAGTCTTCATTTGAATGGACATATTACCTCTCATATATTTAAGGGTCCAGAAAAGGAATAAGCTGTCTAAACCAAACCACACTTCTCAGTTGCACACATCCACAAAGGGGACATTAGAACATGCAGCACTGTTTCTAGATGATTGTGGCATTGACTGTATTCAATGATCAGCCTTTCAAAAATACTTTCACTGGAAAGAAACAAGCATTATGAATGTTAAGTTAATCTTTTTACATTGCTATCCAGCTATCAGCTTCAAGTATATGCACTGACAGTATGATAAAACATTTCCATGTATTTTGAAGTTTGATTCTAGGAAAGGATCTCCAGGAAGGAGGGAAAAAATTACCTTAAAACTGTCTAGTTTTTCTACAGAGCACATTGCCAGAGCAAAAACCCATGCCTATGACATGTGTTTTGCACAATCATTTGTTGTGATTTAATGCTTAGTGTTTCCTATCTTCAAGCAATTTATTACATAGCAAAGAGTATGTTAGTGAAGTTAGCCTTCAGTTAACCGTTTAGGTTTTTGGGGTGGGGGAGGAAGTTTCATGTATGATATGAAGCATTTCCTACTGCTTGGCAGCAGCATGGAAGTGTCCCAACCAGGGTAGTGCAAGGAGAATTAAGACAATCATTCTTTCCACAGGCAATCTTTATTTTAGATGTTTAACAGCCTGGATATTCAGCAGCCTAACTGATTGCATAGCCTGTCTGTCCCTCCCCTGCTCTGAAGAATTTTTCATTTATATGGGCAAATTTCAAAGCTCTTTCAGGAGAGGAAAAGCAAAAACTGGCAAGCAAGGAATGTATTAAGTTGGCTCCAGCAGAGCAGACAGACCTCTCCAAACACTTTCTTCCAGTAGGTGACAGTACCAACCACTGTTGTGAGGCAGCTCAAAGAAGGAACATGAGCACATTTCTTCACAGACATGCTGTGCCATACCTACAGAAAGTACTCGCAGACCTCCAGTTATATCCAGGTTGTGAAGTGAAGAGAGCTTCTGCAGCTGTATGCTTTTTTCCTTTATCTGAGGACTCTCACACGATTTCTTCTAGCCCAAGTCTTTGTTTTTGTACTTCTCTTGTCTAGCAAGATTCAGCACTTACATAAAAATAGATAAATGGATGTTTGCTGTTTCAGGAAAGATCTGATTGGAAAAAGGTATGTCCATTAAAAGTGTAGGCAAATACAAGTTGGGTTGGAAAAGACATATGGTAGTTAGCTGTAGAGGAACAAGGTGCAGAAGGGGAAGAAAACTACATGCATAGCATCAATTCCCTTTATGTTAATTTTCCTCTGAGCAATAATGTAAAATATTTATAGTGCTGTGAAAACAAAGGCAGATCAAATAGGAGGCAGAAAATAATGCAGGGGCAGAGGAAGTGTATTAAGATAAATTTGCATGTTTACAAGGGAAAGAAAAAGCCATATTCAAATTTAGCTTTGCACTCACACTGGCCAGCAGACATTGAATAGAAATAGGCAGTATTTAGAACCAGAGGGCTTATTTATTTTTCCAGGAAGCAAAAATGATACCATTAGCTTGATACTACCTCAATAACCAACTACACTCATATTTTTGTATCTATAAGCAGAAAATTCTTCAGGAGGAATATAAAGTCAACTTAACAATGAAATCTGACCAAAGAGGTTAATAATGTCCCATTGCTCCGGGATACCACAAGACTGCAGCAGAGGAGCTGAGACTGGGATGATGACTGAGAATTCCCTCAGCAGAGCCACAGGGTGTTGCTGTAGGAATGCTCAGTGTGGCTATACCACCTTCACTAGATGCCAAAGGAGTCATATGACGAACAGAGTCAAACATTTGCAGATGGCAGAGGAAAAAATTGTTAAAAAAGAGAGGAAGGTATTTGTCAATGCAAGCTGGATCTGTTTTTACAGATGGAATCTCTGACCACTCTCCAAGCCTGCTGTGGAAGTAAACAATGATTTCATAACACAAAAATGAAGAGACACAGGAAAGAATAAACCTAGTTTTGGAGACTAAAAACCAAACAACATTTGCAAATAAGTACAAGCCGTCTTGTATCATCTCCTGCTACTGCCTTATATTCCCCACTCCTCCCTCCTGCTATATGAAGCCATATAAATTTTATCTGGTAAAGTGTTAAGTCCCCTCTAGAATATAGGAATAAATTGTGTTTGTCAAGGCACTATTCTTTGTTCAGCACATTGGAGTAAAGTCAAAAAACAAATTCCTAGCTTCCAGAGTGTCTGTAAAAATTACCTCAAGTCCCCGAAATAGACTTGAGTTGCTAATTCAAATAAACATTAACCCCAGGGAGAAATGTCTTTATTGGTCTTAATGGTCTCTCCTTATACCATTTGGTATGATACTGGTAAGAGCAATGAACGTCATCAAAAAAGTAAAGCTGTTCTGTACAAAGACTGGGAAGGCAGAGCATTTTGCCTGTAATTAGCTGCCATGTGAATTTATAATTAACCATCTGACTGAGAATTATGTTTTGTTACATTTGAGCACAAATACTTCAGAGTATCTAGAGTTAGGAGTTAACTGAAAAAGAATTCAGAGTTAGGAGTTAACTGAAAAAGCTACCCCATAACTAATGAACCTCACATATTACACAGCTATGAAAGGCACTTTATCCCAAAAGGTACTTAGTAAAATAGATACAGTATTGCTATCCAGAAAGTTTAGAGACCCCCTTACATCCTAATCTTTGCAAGACAATTCAGTCCTCATGAGTTTCAGATGTCTTAAATGCCTGCAGTCAAGAGTTGCCAGAGATAGCTGGTTAGAAGATTCAACTCCCTGAAGAGTTGTAAACTTGCTAGAAACAACTTATTTTAAATCTGCACAAGTTGGCAGCTGTCCTTATCTGTTAATAAAAGAGTCCACAATACAAGAAGACCATTAAGAGAACAGACCTCAGCTGTAACTGCAATGAGAACAGGCATTGGAAACAAGCCTAGGAACTGATCCAAATTCTGACTTGATGATTTTTTGTTACTATTTTAGAGACAGAACTGATTGAGAATGATTTAACATGTCATCACTAAAGCATAACCAAGAGATTATTGCTTCTTCCAAATGATGTCTTAGCCTTGAAATTGCATCCCTCCCACCATAAGCAATTTTTTTCTTACCATGAAGGGGGAAGGATTAGCAACAGTCAAGTAGCACCTCATACTACAGAAGTTCTGGGGAGTAACTGCCAATAGCCTGGCACTGCAAGGACCTCAGACTCACCTGGCAGACCATGCTCTGACCTGTCTCCATCTTGCATGTCTGCCAGTGCTGCTTCTCAAAATATTGCAGCAGTAGCTGTGTCTTTTTAGCCTCTGTCAGTCCTAATTTAGGAGATCAGCTGGGCTACTCTGATAGGAAACCTGCTCTGTCCATTACTCTGTGCAGACTATTAGTCTCAAGAACAAACATGTCACCTGGCAAGTGTCTTAGCTGCCTAGAATGCCACTGAAATAATTTAAGAAATACTTCATGATCTGGCTGGCAGTGGTAGTGCAGCCTACTAAAGCTTTCAACTTAGGAGATACATCATTTTACTTCAGTGCTAACATAATAATCAAAACCAATACTTTAACTGCTTGACTCATTTTATTTTTATCCCCTTGGCTGCATTTGAGTTTTACAGTGGTTTCTTAAAGACCATTCATTCTTGTAGACCTCTAAGAGGTAACAGACAAGATAGAAGCAATTATACATATAAAATTACTTATGTTTACAAATTTTTGGCAATCATAATAACCCGTTTTTTCCTATTGCCATTGCCCCAATCATTGAAAAAGAGAGTGTACAATAATTTACATCTGAAGTACTTCAAAGTGCTTGATAGTGATTTTCCAATAATTATTTACAAGTGGCCTATAGACATATATACAGGTGTTACAAGTTGTGGCTGGAATATGGCTTTCTATGGAAAGTGCTTTATATTTGGTCAGTGATGTTACTGACTAACCAACCCAAGGGTTACTGATAAAACTGTAACCACTAACAGCTGAATTGTTGTGGACAGGTATTTACAGAGTTGTTAAGCTGTAGAAAATAACTATTTACACAAATGTGCCATAAATACAGAAAGTATCTTCTTTCTTCCAAGAATGGAGGAAGTCCTTCAGCCACAAACCTGGTTACTATCCCCAAAGAGTGTAAGACACAAGTAAACTGAAAGTGATTGCTGATCCAGTGCTCATGCCATATCATCATCTGTGCTGACAACAGATATCTGTAAAAAAGTAAGTACAAGTTACCTACAGTTGCACTAATAAAAGACAAAGCAATACACATCATTGCTAATTCTTCAGGCTAGTGACCACATTCAGCACAGATTATTCCATCCCAGGTACAGACACTAGTTACCTACCATAACTTTAACCTTAATTATAGGGTAAATTTGTCAGTTGATTCAGCCCAGTAGTGCCTGCAGCAGACACATCTCCTAAATTCAATTCCAGTATCATTTGGCAGTCTTTCTACTCCAATTACTAACCTGGAGTCTCAGACATAATAGGTTTACTTACTGCAGGGTAGGTGTGTCCTACTGAACCACTGTGTCTTCCAATATCAATTGTGAGGTCCTCTTCTGTGGTTTTTAGGTAAACTGGATTATCAAAATTCATGCTTTTCATGTTCTTGTGCTGCCAGTTACGCCACATAAAGTAGCCAGCTGCTGCAGCCATCATCAGCAACACTGCAGGGAGATAAAGAGATTGCAAACATGGAGTAGAGTCCGGTCAAGCTCCTATGAGTGGCTTGTGCCACCACATGGGGTCCAAAAGGCTAGCAAATGCTCTACTCACCAGCAGGAAGAATGATCCAAGCTGCTGATGTTCTTCCAGCTGCAGTTACTTCAGAAGCTGCACCACTAGTGTTGAATCCTGCATGAAAATTTGACACAGTGAGCTTGCATACTGACAGGCTGGCAGATTGTCATATACAAGCATATCCCAAACCCAGAAGCTCCTATTTGATTAGCTTCTCAGTAGCACGTGCTAAAACAACCTAACATGCTTCATCCTGTATTAGTTGGAAACTTTCTTTATTGCTTGCCTTCTCTGAGCACTCCTGGGATTTCATGGAACCTACAGATTCCACACTGTCCTATGTGAGCTAAATCTGTTTAACACATGCTCCAGCTGCTACACTACACAAGTGATCTGGCCTGTGTTCTCTACTTGCATGCAAAGGAAAAAACTTCCAAGTAGGCTAGTTGGTCAGTTTGCATTTAATTTCTCTAATGTTTAGCAGTGTGAGTTATTGGGACCAGTACCTCCAGGAACTAGTCCAACAGTTGGAGATTTTTCTGTTGTGCTGGTATCTTTAGCCTCAGTGTAAGCCACAGTTGTTCCAGTACCTGAAACTAATTATAGATCAAGAACTAATTATAGATCAGTTAATCCTGAAGTTCTGCAATGGCTTTGCTATGACAGCCATGGTAGTGAAAGTTCAGCAGATGGCAAAAATGGTCATGCAGGTTGTTAGCTTCACTGGGAACGCTGACATTAACTATTTCACTAGCACGCCCTCAGCAGAGAGTTCTTGATGAAAAGTAGTTCTAATAACAACACCAGACAGTTAATCAGGAATGAATTACAGGCATTTAAAGTCACAACAGTCATAAGCCACCCTACCCCTCACATAAGGTTTTCTGAATAAGATTTTAGTTTTACAAGTTTACTGGTTAGGTACAGCTTTGATATCCATAGCAACCTTTTAGTGCAGCCAAGGAAGGCAAGCATCCTTGCATTTAGCACTCTGTGGCAATCAGAATCAATACATAATACAGTCAGTGGCACCTTGGAGTTTCTAGTTCCACTCCACAGGACAAAGCAAGCCTGCTGCATAGTCAGTGGTGACAACAGTAGTACAGCAGCATGTTAATCTGGACCAAAAGGGAGGTACAAATGCCTTGGACAGCAACATTAGCCAACCGCATTTTGATCTGTGTATTTACATGTACAGCCATGTTAGTTTATACCACTGTTTTATAAGAGGCTGAGTATGTTTTGTCCTTGTGTTTGCTGTCTGTAGAAAGCCATGGAAGTACAAGATCTTGTTGTAAATGATGATGATGATGCAGAAGCAAAGCATGGACTTGGAACAGCACCTGCAGACTCTAAGGGCCATATTAATGCCCTCCCCTCCAGGATTAATTACGTCAGATTAATTTTAGCAAAGCTGTCAGCCTATAGCACTGTATTTCCGTCTCCCTAACAGGTTCAATAGTCTCCTATTCCTTCCCCATTCATCCTGGGAATGATCTCAGTTGTTACAGTACCTGTACATCTCAGGCCATCCTCCTGCAAGAAGTACCCAGCAGGACATGCACAGGTGTACTTTGGAGAATGTTCATTTATCTGAGGAGCAGGCAGGCACAGGTAGCTACAGCCTCCATTTGTCATGTGCTCTTCACACCAGTTCCTACCTGTTGGTACAGTAATTAAGGAGTGAACAAGAGTGAGCCTTCATGCTCCAAGTGTGCAGCAGAAGTATTTGCTCGGTAATTGTTTTAGTAGAATTACTTGTCTCAGCTGGTTATAGATTTATATCTGCTCTGCCCAAGAAAGAGCAATTGCAACTAGACCTCTCAATCCCCATGGGGCTGCCTATGTTAGAAGCTCCAAGCAGGAATAGGAATGGACATCTGTACAGTGAAGGGGAACCATTTGTCACCATCCAGGCAGGGCAGGCTTCTTACAAGTATGCATTGACTTAACTATAAACTGTATTGAAATTACCTGAAGGCTGAACAAGTTCATGATACACAATGATGTCCTGTGCATCATTGAGGTTGTTCACAAGGGTAACCAAATCAGTTCCAGTAAATTTGTTGGCACCATAGACTGCCTCATTCTCTCCATCAATCCAGTACACACGGTCCTAGAAGACAATGTCATTGCATCCCATTACCTCCATGATGCTATCAGCCCCATACCAGCAAGAAGAGGATCTTTGACAGTGACTATAGGAAGCCATTCTTACCTCAAATATGGTTAGAGCAAGAGGATGAGGAAGGAACATGTGCGACTTCAGCACAATTCTACGATCCTGGCCATTCAAGTCCACACTTGACAGCATGTGTAGTTTGGAATCAAGCCAGTACAGGCGGCTTTTTACAAGATCTAGGAGGGGGAAAACACCAATACATTTAGTGTCCACGTGGAGGAAACCTCCGAAGCTTGCTGCAAGAATTGAAACACGCACAGGTATGAGAATGGTGGCAGTGTTGCCCTAGTTTCTTACCATTCTAGGATACAGATGGCTGCTGCAGTGATGCCTATGTGGCCTGTGCCTCAACTATAATATAGAGCAGTTCAGGAAAAGTTACTATTTCAGTATCTGAGAAGTACTGATGCCTGTTGCAGTGTCTTCAGGCATACAGAAGCTTCCCTTTCTCAGAAGCTGAAAATAGTTCTCTGAAGAATGACCTTGGCTTTTGTAGCAAAAAAATTGCTAAAGCTCCAGAATACCTCTGGCAGAGACAAGTTCAACATACCTAGAGCAATTCCATTAGGCCATTGGATTTCTGTTGTCACAAGCTGCTGTCTGTCAAATCCATTCATTCCTGCTTTTTCAATTTTTGCTGGCTCACCCCAGTCTGACCAGTACATAAAGCTGTGAAGCAGAATTTATGTTGTATGATGCACTATAGTACTGTGTAGTATCACTCTTTATTATGACCAATAACTAACAAAGGCTACCTAAGTCAGTTATCAGAACACGTAATTGGTAGGTCCACTCTTTTAAAAGAACCTGCACAAATACTCACCCAGAGATAGGATCTACAGCAATAGAAGCTGGCTCTCTCAGCTCAGAGAGAAACAAAACCTTTCTTTTTGTGCCATCTAGGCTAGCCACTGAAATGGTCTTTGCAGTTGAGTCTGTCCAGTAGATGTTCTTATAAACCCAGTCAACAGCAATTCCTGCAGGACTGTGTATGTTGTCCAGGATTCTGATGTGTGTTCCAACTTTATCACGGGTATCAATAGAGGCACTGGAAGAAAAGAATTACTTGCTTTCAGCCACTTCCATTGCAGATACTATCCCTTGGCATACCTCAGCAAATACCGCACAAGATTTCAGGGAGAAGATGCATGTGGGACTTTCCACAGGGTGCCTTCTGCACAAATGTAGCAGCAGCTACTAGAAAGTGCAACAGGCATACACATTGGTAGCTGTGGGAGTTTGTATCAACTGTACTTTGTCTTTAGGATATGAGGAATCTAGTTTTCACTACCAGAGACTAGAGAAATAGCTTGGGTAAAACCATGGAATGGTTTAGGGAAGTAAACTAGGTTCAGAAGCTAAGCCCATTTACCTGAAGATTGCTTTTTGGCTGAAGTCTGCCCAGTAAAGCTTTTGCTCAGCAATATCAGCATCTAGGGCTATAGAGTTTCTTAGCTGCTCTACAAGCTGAATGTATTCCTTTCTCTCAAGGCCAATCTTCCTTATGTCCCGGCGGTTGGTGAAAATTAGACTTGGTTCTTTCCCTGTGAAAAGAGTTTGTTGTCTGTACTTCTAGCTATTCAGTAACACACTTTTCTTTTACAAAAAGTTTTAAGAGTCATCATATTTAGTATCTAAATATTTATTATGTCATTCCACACTTGCTAGGAGATGCTGACAGAGGTCTTGGTTGTACCATACCTCATCCTTTTCTCCCTCCACAACTTGATGGGGAGGATCCTCCTGCCCAGGGAGTAGACACAAGCAGTTTATGTCAGACAGCTTTAAGTACTGTATCATGGCATCATTTGAAGTGTTAGTAGTGATCAGTAACACCATAATAGCTAGTGTAAAAACCACAGTAGTATAAACAGTGCATCATTTGCTGACTCATTTTAAAGTGGGGGTATAAAAGTCGTGTCAACACTCACCAACTGCCTTGCACACCCCAGTAGCAAGATCCATCTGATAGCCACGGCTGCATTCACATTTGTAGCCCCCTTTCAGGTTGATACAGATCTGACTACATATACCAGGGTTCTGACATTCATCAATATCTGTAAAAAGAAAAATTTAACTTATGCTCACCTCCCATATCACCAGTAGAGTCCATGTTAAACTACTAGATATTTACCTCCACAGGTCCTCCTGTCCAGAAGCTCAAACCCAGCTGGACAGTCACATTCATAGCCAATAATGAGATCTCTGCAGATATGAGAGCATCCGCCATTGTTCACCAGACATTCATTGATGTCTAGAAGAGAGAATTGGCCACTTCTGAGAAGGCATGCTTGTTTAGTTTTATAGTGTTAGCCATGGAGCACTTTTCCAGGTACATATCCACTTTCTAGCAATGCCTGTCACATCTGATAAACTGGCACTCAAAGTCATATGCAAGAGAACCCCCTCAAATTCACGTTCACGCAGCTATCAGCACTTTCTCTGTGTTACAAGCAGGCAGCAATATAGATTGAGGTTCCTAAAGTTTCAGTGTTTCTAATGCATTCAAGTTCTTTCCTGACTACAGATAAATCATCCTATCAGACAATTTGGCTAGGATAAAACTAGCCTATTCACTAGGTTGGCCTCGGTTGTAAGTTTGCCACCAAGAAGTGCCAACGGGCATTCCAGCTGACATCTGACAACTCCGAGGCTATATCTAAGTATATCTAGTAATCAGTATTGTGCAAAGAGTTTGTTCACTTACTACACTCCTTGAGGGGCTCATCACTCCAGTCCTTGCAGTCTCTCTGCTGGTTACACACTTTATTGATATCTATACATTCTCCACTTCTGCACTTGAATTTGCCAGGTCCAGAGCACTGAATAACTGACATAATGAAGATTGTGAGGGTGACTACCAACTTCAACAGATATTCTGCAAAGACTTCATTCTTGCTCAGTTCCATACTTACCATTGTTACAATTTGCTTCATCTGTGCCATCCAGACAATCTCTCACACCATTGCACTGCCTACTCCCATGGATGCAGTTTCCATCTTCACATCTGAACTGGTCCGGTCTACAAGTCCGAGAAGCTGAGGACACAGCCATTACAGACTTTTACTCCTGAGGTTTACTGAAGCAAAGGAAATAAAAGAGGAGACAAGCAGTACCTCCTAGAGAAGGACCAAGTGAACTTACGGCAGTTGATTTCATCACTTCCATCCTTGCAGTCAGGGTCTCCATCACAGCGCCACTTTTTGTGGATACATTCACCTGAGCCACACTGCACCTCACTGGCAGAGCACTTCACAGAAGGTGCAGGCTGGCGGCCACATTGCTCTAGAGACTCATCTGAGTGGTCAGAGCAGTCAGCATCATCATCACACACCCAGCTGAGGGGAATGCAAGTCGAGCTCTTGCACTGGAACTCATGAACTCCACAGGTAGGAGGTGCACACTCCAGCTCATCACTACCATCACTGCAGTCATCTTGACCATTGCAGACAAAGCTCTTGGAAATACATTGCCCACTGCTGCATGTGAAGTCTGCTGGACTACAAGTCACATTGCCTGGGGTAATGGGAGTAAGAGACATTAGTACATTGTCACAAGAAGGCTGACTTTTGTGTAAAGGTATTTTGTTTTGCAGCTGCCAGCTGACACAAGATCAGCATCCTGTATAATGCAATAGGGAAGCCTAAATGACCACCTACAGGACACTTGGGTTCCACAGACCATCCTCATTGCCTTTGGACATCATAAGTGATAGGCATCAGATTTGAACTACTGAGTGAAAATAACCTTCTGAAGTAGCTAGGCTGTCCTGCACTTCAGATTGCAAGTCTTTCAGAAAACAGAGTCTAACCCTGTGAACCAAAGACAGAAGGTAAAAGAAATGCTGAATAGACCAAGATTAAATTAGTCTGATGGTCAGCATGTACTGTAGTTTGAAATTAAAGTGTTTTGTGCTGGTCTCCAGGACAGCAGTGGCCCATTTGCCTGGACCAGTAGGGATAACAGACCAAGATCTTGCCTGAATTGATCCCGTGGTTACGCACACCCACGCAATTTATGTCAGTACAAATTATGCTGGGTTAATAGCAATGTAGCTAATAGCTCAGTATGCCTAGGCTCATAGTTATATCAGCTTCATTAGAAACACTGTCTGTAGATTTATTGTAGATTAAGACATTAGTTTGCTGAGTAAGATGGCAACTCCACAGACACATAGCAGATCTGGGTCTCATTTGGCCATCCAGGTAAGGTGGTTCCGATGGAAGCCAGCCCTGTGGCTTTGGTTACAGCAAGTATGTCTCAGGACACCTCAGAAAATGCACATGTATGCAAATTCTTTTGAATAAGCCAGGAATGCTGCACATGCTGCAATGGCAGCTTTACTTGTGTACCAGCCTGAAGTTTCCCCCTGCCCCAGACACCCAAACAACAGAAATCCAGCTTCACAGATATTTCAGGATTGGACTATAAAGTAGATTAGTTATGCTCTTTGCTAAAAGTTGCTACTACACTTTTAGGAGATAATTTGTTAATGTAAGCAGCAATTTCAGAAACTCTCCAGAAAACAAGTTCTGACAGTTGGCTTGCCGGGTGACTAAGCCTACCTACAGCTACTGCCAAAATTAGCAGAGACAAAAAAGACACACATTAAAAACCTTAAATTATTGTAGCTCTTAATTTAGCAGGATAGAGGACTGTTAGAAAAATTTGCTTTAAGCAGCTGCAAAACAAGATTAATGTAGGAGAGATATCGATACTATCAAAAATTTATCTTCCCAAATATACTGCCCAGCTAGCTCCTTTCCAGACAGGTCAATTTCAAATGGAGTTATGCAACGACCATTTATTTCCTTACCACAATTCTGTTCATCTTCTTCACTGTCACAGTCTTTTTCACCATCACATTTCCAGGACACTGGGATACACTGCGTTGACTGAGGACCACAGCTGATTTCATTTACCCGGCACGTTCTTGTGTCTATTGAAAAAAAGTTTAAGTTCAATCTAATTGATCTTGGGTATCAGCATTTGTGCTGAAAATTGAGACTGAAAGGCTTCAGGTCTGGACAAAGTTGCAGTTATTTAGATGCAAACATCTGTAAAAATTGATGGAAAAGGCTACACTATTCTGTAATGTTCAGTTAAAAAAGATGTTTCTAGTTCCTAAGAGATTAGTACCTTAACAGTACCTTTGTAGTGGTAGTATTGTGATTGCATGCCAATTACACTGTAATTGGCTTGCAATCACAATAATTGTAATTGTAGCTTGAGCTACAACAAACAGTAGTAGGGAGGAGTAATGCCAAAGTGCACTAGGACTCGGGCTGAAATACTCCCCACTGTGGATCCTACTGATACAGGAAAATGACACTTTCTGGATCTACATTGCTTGATGAGTTATGATACTTCAGACCAGACCTGCTAAACCTGAGATCTCACAGTCAAACCTCTGCACTACTGCTTCCCACACCCAACACGCAGTCAGATACTCAGTCCCTACATTAGCTCTGTAGTACTGGGGCTGCACTTTCAAAGTAGCTGCCTTGGAGAACAGCAATCACTTGGTGGACAAGTCACAGTGACAGTCAGGCCTGTCATGGTCTACCTGCTGCTTCTGACTGTGAGGAAAACCTGGTACTTACTATCTCTTACCCATGCAAGTGCAAGAGTGCCCACTCAGTTCTGCATCTTTTTAAGCAGTAAGAAGTCTCCTCTAGACCCTGACAAGGCCAAGCACTTAGGAAGGTGCTCCCCAAGTGAGTTCATCCCTGCTTTAGGAGTAGAACCAGACTGCAAGCAGGCAAGAAGTCAAAATGCTCCTCCCCACAGATTTGGCTACACCACCATGCCAGGTTCACTTACGGCACAGTTCGGAACTCTCATCAGACCCATCCTCACAGTCCGGATCCCCATCACACTGCCATCTGTTAGGCACACATTGACCACTGAGGCACACAAAGTCAGATTCGGCACATGTCTTCTTCACTGCAAGGGAGAAAAAGACACTTGTTTAGGTACCAGAGCTTAGCTTATTTATTGCTAACAGGGATCAGTTTTGTTGCCCTAGAAAGTTATTCAACACCCTTGGTTTGTGGATGCCTGGTGTTGTCCCCCAACAACCTAGTAAACAGTGCTGTTGACCACTTCCAACAGTGTTATTCTGTGTACAGAGAAACACTTATATTCATCTAATCAGGCACTGAAGGACCACCTATTGCTAAGGAGACTAAGCGGGTTAGTTTACATTAGCTACTGCTTTGAACAGACCTGAGTTAAAATAAGGTCTGTTGATATTAATATTTACATTTCAAACCCTGAGTTTATAGTCGAAGCATTTGATTCGTCATTACAGAAGCATGGTACTATGTAACTCTAGGGTAATAGTTTAGGTCTGCCTGAGGAGACTGGCAGTTCAACCACACCAGTGATGGATATAGAGTATGCTTTGCCTGGTCTCCAAGTAAATCTAGTCATCTATCTTGGCTTCTATGTCTGCTTACAGCAAGGGTTGGCAGCCAAAGCTACACTTAATGTTTATAGGAGACACAGCAGAATCACTTTCACATATAAAACAGGGCTTTTAGCCATGGAATAGCCAACAGCAGAGTGCTAATAGCAAACATTTTCTATTATGTATTCAAGAAAGAACTGAGAACAGCCTTATATTCTGTTCCTGTCAGTCATCACTCTCACAAGTGAAGAATTTTGGTCACAAGCTTTGTCTCAGTTGCCAATTTCAGGAGAGTTAGATAACACTCAGGAAAATTCAATTGCCTCAGATGGGCACAAAGAATCAATAGTGGTTATTCAAAGAAATTTGTCTTTGTGTTCCAACTGCCAGAAGTGCTGGGCAGGATAAGTATCTCTCCAGCTATCTACTGTTAAGTCCCCACTTCCAACTAGCAAGTATTACTACAGAGGTATTACTTTGATTACTTACCACAAGCACTCTCATCACTGCCATCTGAACAGTCTTCATCACCATCACATTTCCAGATTTGAGGAATACAGCGTCCATTACCACATGCAAACTGGGATTCTTCACATTTTGCTCTTGCACCTTTGATGAAAAAAGGAACTTATGCCTCAATACTGTTCAACAATACTTCTCACTTTCCCCACTGATCAAGAAGCTACCCAGCCTAATCAAGAGCATAACACCAACACAAAACCAGATCTGAGCTCCAAATTTTTGCAATCACCTTATTCAATCATGAAAGTAGAGCCAAAAGCTTTCCTTCACAGTAAAAAAGCAGAGTTTAAGCACCATAACCATCCACCTGCTAAACAGCAGCAAAAAATCTCAGTGTTATTCTCACTCAGTTTTCCTCTTCAAGGCAGGGTCAAGCCTGCAACTGTGCCCACAATTACTTTTGCTGTCTTGTACCTAGCATCACATTCTCAAAACTCTTCAAATTTTAAGCAAACTGGGTTTAAATTTTATTAATGTCAAGCTGCATTAGCATTTCAATGCTCTGCTGCTAACACATCACAGCAGAATCCCCAAGACATCTGTAAAGGTACCTTAGATAACTACTTTGTAGCTAAGCAAGTTTTCATGCTTTGTTATTCCTCAAAAAGTGGCCTCCAGAGACATTCCTCAGTATACACCAAAAGAAGTGTGATGCTAAAAGAGCAAAGTAATCAATCACTTCCTTCTGGTATGAAGTCCATTGTCTCACAACTGGTAAGTTTTGGTTTGCTAGTATGTTTGAGTAATATACTGCTTTCTGCAAGATCCTTAGAGTGTATTTTCCAGTGTATCTTCAACTCTACAACTGTATGACCCCATCCCTCAAGGGAACGTGCTTTGTCTTGGAAGCCCTGTTAAAACTGCCACTAAAAGCAGCAGCCTGCATCTTCAGCAGCTAAGCCAGAGCTGTTCCACTTAATGCACGCAGGCAAGTGTGTAAGATTGTGCATCAGTATTGGCTGCACATGCCTAGAGCATGATGCAAGACTCTTGATCCTTCGTGGTTTATTGCATCATTTAGTGAGAGTGCTTTGTCCTGGCATTCCAGAGCTCAAAGGGCACCGAATTTCAGTAGAATATTATTTGCTATTTTTATATCCTCTCTGTATGACATGCAAAATGCAAGACAGTTTCCAAGCAGAAGGAAGGTACTCAGGCATTTTACATTATATTAGTGGCTGGCCATCCCACATCAGGTACTCACAAATGCTGGACAGTACAAGCAAGAACAACATGAGCAATTCTATCTGCTGAATGTCTCATGTAAATCCATGAGCAAGGACGTGTAAAAGCACTTTACTAAGTTCTGCCAATATTTTAGTAGCCTTACCAGAGGAGTAAAGCAGTAATCCAGTTGTTAGAACAAAGTTATCAACTTTTTTCATGGGAACTGTGTTCAAAAAGTACCAAAAATCAGAACATCAGCTCTTGTGTATACTGTTTCCATTCCCCTGTTTCCTTTTCTGGTTGGGAATTACACCAGCATGTGCTTTCTAAGAGTGTGCTTTTGTAAAGCTACTACTACAACTTGGTCATGAGCTGTCAATCAATTAGCTTGCCTTGCGCTAGACAGCACACCCCAGCCACCTAAGAGTGGGAGTAGATGCCACTAAGATGTTCTAAGCCTGATACCTTGTTGTCCAGCAAGCTCTAAAAGAAGGTTAGAGTTGTGAGCCCTGGTCACATATTTCAGGTTTTACTGTACTACTGCATAAAATATGCAACAACTGACTCCTGCTAGTTTCAGGACTTCCTCATCCAGGCATTCAGAGTGAGAACAGTCAACCTTTCCCAAAACAGCACACAGAGATATTAGACTAAGCCTGCCACTAAGGAGATCCCAAAATAACTCCATGGCCCTTAGTTACTCTGTTTCAAGCTAGAATAACCAGAAAAGGCTTGCTAAGGCTGCCTAGTACATTGTGACTTACAAATGTAACACCATTTTGATCAAATGCTACAGGGAAGCTACGCACAAGGCTAACAGAAACCATAGCTGAGGTTGGAGTAACAGCTGTAACTTTACCATTACAATCCTAACAACAAGCCATTCCAAGAATATATCATTGCTTCTGCAGCTGATACCAAGTGAAATGTCAGAGCAACTACTTTTAGCTCACAAACAAGTAAAAAAAAATCGACAAGATCTAACTCCTACACAGGTGCACAAAGGTAGAGGTCAGCATCTGCTACCGCTCCTGAAGATGTCTGTCAGACTCTAACAGCCACTTGAAATGAGCTCCAGTAAGATGGTTAGTTACAGCCAGTAACTCTGATCCCTTGTCTTACACCAAGCACCATTCTACAATGCCAGGTAACCAATTTAGCTAGGTTCTACCAGTCTAATCCACTGCTATTTGAAGCAATGGAGTCATACCTCAACTGCAGCTTCAGTCACTAGATACCTAATGATTTTTGGATCAGCATCAATTAGCCACTAACTCAAGCTTCTCTTTATGTGCTCTTCTTGCAGTAGTGAAGTGCAGTGAAGCACCTTCACACATTTTCTCTTCCTTGGAATACAGCTTAGGCTGAAAAATGCTGTGAACCAGTAACATCAGAGCCTGGGATTGCTAACACATATTACTTTACTGTTCCCCAGGTAACTACTTACTAGAAGTTGGCTCATAAGCAGCAATGGGTGTAGGGTGAAGGAGCACAGTTACACTGACTACCCAAGATAAACTACCTTTCTCCATATCTCTGCTATCACTGTTAGTCTCAGCCCCTTTAGCAAGTTGCCAGATTACTTGTCTGGGCAGCTTCAAACATGTGACACTTGTGTACTGTCATCTGACACCAAGTCCCAGAAAAGCTTCCAACCGTGATTGGGAAACCTTGGGAGAGCTCAGACAGGAGCTAGCTTAGACTTTTCCCAGACCCTGGCAATTGCAACTCATAGTAGAAGACAGCTGATGGGTCTACTAACTCAAATTGAAAGAACAATCAGAGTAACTTGGTTAGCTACCCTACTAATTACCATCCACTGTGTATCTCTTGTGATGACTTCTGAGCACAATGAAGTAGCAGGTTCAGTGCCAGCCAGCTTGGTCCTTCATTCTACAACTGTTAACCATGTCTGTTGCGGACCAGGCACGGGAGCAACCTACATGACTGGGAGACCAGAGGTGACTACGCAGACATTTCTCCTCTCTCTTTGTATGAGGACTGGATAAAACAACATGCTGGCAGGGCTCTACCCAACATACCTGTTGTCTGAGCTACTGCACACTGTTATAGGAAAAACCACCAAGATCAGACACTTGGGCCTACTTTAGGACAACAGCCAGGAGATTTAAGAGCAATACAACAATGCAAACTTCAACTGCCCACCTCCTACCTAGGAGAGCAGGCTGAAGCTCAGCTCCTCAGGGAAGAAAGGAGTAAGCCAAATGATTACTACCTTCACTTAAGAGTAAAATATTTTCAAATGACCATCCAACTGGCTCACTGTGCAGGACCCCTGCCAATGCGGGCAACAGCTTCCACGCCGGGAGGCGGCCCGGGAGCTGGCCACGAGCAGCGCTACTGGCGAACGCCCAGCCCCGGGAGCAGGGAGCCATCGCCGGCAGGACCCAGCCTTGCCACCAGGTGGAGACCCCTCACGGTGGTTATCCCGGACCCTGAACTAGAGCCATGCCAACAGCGCTGGATAACACAAAGCCTAAGTTGCAACGCAGTTTGACAGCGCCTTTAACGCCGCGAGCTTCCTAAGCGCTCCTCTTTCGCCCTCCACAACAGAGCCCCAATCCTCCTCGACCCTCTCGCGTTCGCCCCAGCCCCTCAGACCCTCCTCCTTAGGGCCCATCAAGAAGCCGGGCCCCTCCCGCAGCAGGCGGGTAGCTGCCGGGGCTCGGTCCCCCCTCACCGCTCCCACCGCCCGGAGCCCCGGGGGGAAGGCGGCGCCTCGCCCGGCACGGGGGGCGGCGGGGCCGACGCGGCGGCAGCGCCCCCCTGTTCAACCGGGCCCGCCCCGCGCCCCGCGGGGCAGCGGGCAGGCAGTCCGAAAGAGCGGGAGAAAATAATGAGGGCAAGGCAAAAGTAAAGGGCGGTGGGAGACGGAATCGCCGCGGGGGGCGGCGGCGGGAGCCGCCCCGGCGGTGCGGGCCCCAGCCCATTCCCCCTGCCCCGCACTCACCGTCGGCGACGGCGCGCAGGCAGCCAAGGGCGAGCAGCAGCAGCAGCGCCCAGCAGCGCGGGACCCCGCGCCGCTCCGCGCCCCGCCTGTCGGCCGAGGCGCTCGGGTCTCCGGGCTGCCGGTCCAGCCGCATCGCCGCGCCGGGGACAGGGTGCGCGGGCAGGCAGGCGCTGCGGGCGGGGAGCCGAGGAGCAGAGGCGGCAGCCGGAGACATACACGGGGGGAGGCCGTCCCCGCGGCGCTCTTATAGCAGCCGCCCGGCCGCCCTGCGCGCCCGCTAGTGACTCACGGCGCCGCGCCGGGCCCCGGTTGGTTCGCCAGCACCGCCCACCCCCGCTACCTCCTCCGCGGCACCTGCTGCCGCCGCGACGCGCCCGCACACCGCTCGGCGCGGCTCGGCGGGGCACGGGCGGCGCGGTGAGTGGCGCTGCGGCGGCGCGGAGCGGTGAGGTGCTGCGGGCAGAGCCCCCCGCGCCCCCCCGCCCGGCCCTCCTTCCGCAGGGCGGGGACGGGAGCGGTGCGACCCTGCTGCCAGAGCCTGCGCCGGGGCGGCGGAGCGCGGCAGTCCCGGCGGGAGAGGGTCGCAAGGCGCGGCGGCAGCGGCGGCTTTGTTTCCCCTGCGTCTCCCCAGCGCCGCTGCCGCCGGCCGAGGGGAGGGGGGATGCGGCTCCCCGGTCCGGGCGTGCCGAAACCCGCGCTGCGCCCTGGCTGCCTCCGAAGAAGCTTTTCTTCCACGCGGTGCCCACCACCCCATCCGCACATGCTCGCGTGTTTGTGCGGTCTTCCTCCCTCTGTAGTGGAACTTGATTTAAAACGAAGCAGGCGCGGTTGTAGAGGAAGAAAAGCACTACTTCTGCTTAATCCGATCGAAGGATCGTAGTTAATCAGTAATTTCACAAAACGATATGTCAAAATCGTGTAATTACAAGCTTAACCTTTTATTTAAGGAGGAGAATTCGTAATTTTATGCCACGTTTGTAGCGTTTTATACATCCAATTACGTCTCGGTGAAATATACATCGAAAAGAAGGGCTGGTAAAATACAAAGTTGCGTTTGTACACGGCACCCTTAGAATGTGAAATTGTGCTTTCTAAAATACTCTGATTTTTTAAAAAAAGTGCTTTTGTAGACCTGCTAGTTCATGGTGGTACTGTATGCTGTGCTTTTAATACTGTCGTGCAGACGCAAACCTCAGCAAGCAGCTCCATCCAAAAATGATGAAAAAGCTGGTTGCTGTTTCTTCCCTTGGAAATGACGTCTTGATTTATTAGCCTAATACTTTAAGTCTTTTCCAGTAACATGAATGATTCCTCCAGTGATGCAAGTATTTTTGATTTTTCATGTTTCCTCAATGTCATAACGTATTTCTTTGTATGTTATTTGCAGAGTGAAGCTATTTTTAATTCACATCTGGTTGTATCACGACTGCACTAAAGACAAACCATACTACTGCATGAATAACTTTGGAGTGGATTATCTCTTGCAGTTCATGTAATGAATGACTGCACACACCAAATGGGCAAACAGTTGGTGTATCAGAGACTTGTTTAAAAAGTCAAGATTTGATTTTGTGTAACTGAAATACATCTGGGGATTATATTTCTCATATGTGTGTAAATATGAAGAGAGCAGCTCCTAGTGTTTGCCTTCCTACAGCTCTTCCACTTTGTGGCCTCAGGGGCAAAGACTGCTTTCCCAGCCTGCTTGGTGTGTGGCATTAGATGCTACAGCCTCCTTCTTGCAAACATATGCTGCTTCAAGCAAGAAAAATCTTTTGTGTACACGGGGGTTGACTGGGGTCCTCAAGAAGCTGGCTTAGTGTAAGTAGTATGTTGAAAATATAATTCCCCTTTCTGATCTACAACAAAACATACTGCCTTCAGTGCTCACTGCTGCATGGTCTGCCGTGCTTTGAGCTGAACAGCATTTTCATAAAGGTCCTGCTATCATTACAGAAATATTTCATAAACCATATCCTGGTATGCGGTACACAAGAAGAAGTCATGGAGAATTACAAAGCTGGACATACATTGGTGTATCCTGGTAGCTGATGGCCTTCCTTGTTTGTCTGTAGAAGATACAGGTTTATTGGAGGGAGAAAAATTATTCTTTGTGCCCTGGATTATGGCTGCTCCATGATCATCTGCACCTGGCTTTGTGATGGGGTCCAACTTTCTTTCTGGGATGTACCTAGCTCTTTGCATACCTCAGGGTTTGGACTCCAAAGCAGAACTTGATATAAAGTAATTTTTATGATTTCAGGTATATTAAAGTGCTTGAGTAAGTTCGTGTATGAATCTTACAATCCACAGGTTTTGGTGGTATCTCTATAAAGGGATCTCAGAAAAGTTTTCTCCATCCTTAGCATCATCCTTATAGGAACTCTGTTCAGGAAAGGGGCAGGAGTCAGGATGCTATGAGATGGTCTGCAAGATGGGTGCCATCTGCACTGAGGTTTTCATGCCTTTGCAGCAGCTATAGTCTTTCAAAGGCTTCCTTCAAGTGGGAATGGGAAGGTATCTTGGCGGGGGTCTGCAGTGTGTATAATGAATACAGAGTCATTTGTTCATACAAGGATACAAGCCAGAATATATCTGTACAGGAGAATAGAATACAATGATATGTTTCTGTCTGTTAAAAATACGCACATGGGAAAAAAACAGCCCTACTGTGCTAGTGATAATGTAGGAGCAAAGCATCCAGAATGGTCTGAGGTTTAGGAAGGGTGCTGAATTTTGTAAGGAATGTGAGCTGGCTCTTGTAATTGTAACTCCTTTATTAATTTTGTTGGGGAACACCCATTAACATTTGTTTGTTTCCATTAGTGACCTGCAGTCTTTGGTTTTTGCAATACGGGCTTGAGTTAAACTTCTTCAACTCTGGGGAAGTCAGAAAGCTGCAGACAGCAGGTGGATAAGAAAGTGCACAACCTCAGTACAGAGAGGGAGTGTGCAGGGAAACCTGGCATTGCCACCTCAGTAAAGCAAGTTCCCATAGTCAAGTGATATATGGCATTGAATATTATACATAATTGTTTTATTACTGCTAATTGGTTTTAGCGAAGTCTCCAAGTCTTCACCCTGTTTTCTGGCTGTAACTGGTGAATATTCTTGAATATGAAATGTTCCCTTGGAAAAGCTGCAAAGTACTGCCAAGAAGCTAAGTGAACCACTTAGACATTGCCTTCACCTTAAAATATCACGTAACAAGAAAAGGTATCATATTACCTTTCCTTTTTGGAATTGTGGCAGATATGGGCTCCCCGAGACTTTACAACATCAATTCACTGGTTAATGCATTTGGAGTTACAAAAGAATGGACAAGTGGTCCCATCGTTTGGTTTGGATCCTTTGGGATAATTAATTTACTCTGGTGGTTATAGAGTGTAAAGTCCGCTTACAAGAAAAAATAAAGAACAAAAAGAACCTTCTGGAGTACACGTAACATGAATTCAGTGTGTTTTGTTCCTTTCTCTTCTTGCCTTAAAGACCATATAGCCTCCATTTCTAAATTAATTCCTGAAGCACTGGGATTACTAATTCAGCCTTAGGTCTTAAATCAATGGGACTTTTGCCTTTGGCTCCTTTGGTGAAGGACATGAAGTGAGGATGTGTCTACAATATTCAGCCTAATCTAATAAAGAAAAGGAAAGCCTTATGGGTAGAAAAAGCAGCAGTTATGTATTATGGGATAACACCCTGCGTTAGGATCAGCTGCAAAAATATTTTCATCGTTGTGTGCTGGCATTAAAGACATTCATTGCTTTTGAGATTGCATGCCTGAACTTACAGTAAATGAAGGAGGTGTGTTCTTGGCTGTATTTTGGACGTGCAGAGGCAGGATCTGTGTTACTGACTTTAGAGGAGTTGTACAGAGGATGAGAGAGAGAGAATGCATCCTTTGGGAATAATTTAAAATAGGTATGTGCATGAATCCTGATTTGTGTGATTGTGTGTCTGTATCTGAGGGATAAATTGGCCTATTTTTTCTTTTTTAAAGGCTTCTCCGCAAATTGTGTGGAGGTTTATATCCTGGTTAAAAAGTCCTGCTCATGTCCATGTTCTGTGTTCTGTCTGCAGCTTTACACAAAAAGAAGGGGAACAAAGAAACACATACACAACTTTCCAGCAAAAATGCATCATTCCTCTATTTTTCAATATATCTAGGAGTGAATCAGGACTCACAGAAAAGTCCCATTTACCCACCATCATTATCTGAGTTGTAAAAATAAGTTTCACTGGTGATTTTAATCCACTTTTAAAATTTGTTTTTCAATCATTAGTGGTACAAGAAATATACAGTTTGCCTCTGAAGGAGCCCAGAAAATACTTATTTATTTTGGTTGCATTCTTCACAATGGCAAAAAAAAAAAAAAAAAAAAAAAAAAAAAAAAGGATACAATTCCCAATATCAACACCAATTGGAATTTGCTGCTGATTTCTGTGAGGACAAGATTTCCTCCTCTGTGCTACAAACGGGTCAGTTATGGTTGTATAGTCACTTATTAATGGGGCTCCCCTGTTTGTGAGCACATCTGACATGAACACAAATGCATTTTTCTTAGTGTTACAGTACTAGAAGTCTTCATAACAGCTATGTCATGTTAGGAATAGAACCTTGGAAGCATTTAATTTGTTTTCAAAACACAAGTTTGCATTTCATTGGTGGTACTGGGCAGTGTGTAAGCCTGGAAATGAGAGAATTGTAAGTCATGCTTTGGAACCAAAATTTCCATTATCCTTTTTTCTTTGTTTGAATAATATGTGATAAAACTTTAGTTGTGAAAAAAGAGCTTTCATTTCTGTCAGATGTGGCATAGAATGTGGCTTCAGAATATACCTTTACCAATTTCATAGCTGTGCACTTTTTGTACTTATCTTTAGAAATGAGAAACTCTTTAGAATATCATGTCCTGATGTGACACCCATTCTGTATGCTTAGTAATAAACCAAATAAAACTTGATCTTGCTGATACTGCAAGATTTATTATACATAAACTGGAGTATATTCTGATCAGATTTTCCAATAAGAAAACCTGCTAGGATGAAAATGTATCAAAATTCCACTGGAAGTGCATGTTTTTAAAGTTTTCCAGTGAAAAATGAAGAATTTGAAGTTTGTTTTTCTTTAATGCTTTTCTTAATATGTTCATCTTTGTGGAAGTACACATGCATTGACATGGTAAATCTGACATTTGTGTTCCAAAAAACTCTATAGTGGAGAAGGATATCAATATTTGCTTTCTTCTTTACTAGGGATAAAAAAAATATTATATGGTGTATGTTAGAAATAAGAAATGTGATTAATTAAGTGAGTTAAGACTTCTGATTGTGGTGTTGTGCCTGTAGAGCATAG